TGGTCTCACTCCCTTTAAAAAAGCGGCTATTTCCTCTGCTCGCTCTCTTCTCTTCCTGCTCGGCTGGAGACTAGACTCCCTTCCTGGTTGCGCAGATGGCTGTTGTCTGGGATTGTGATCTGTAAGTTTTACCGCCTTCATCGTCGGTAGAGCATGAGACTCTTAATCTCAGGGTCGTGGGTTCGGGCCCCTCGTTGGGCGCCAGATGAAGGCGTAAGTCACGAACAAGGCAACACCAGTTTGGAGTTATGATTAATAGGGTGTTATTTATTTAAAGGGGAAAAAACTTACAGATCACAATCCCAGACAACAGCCATCTGTGCAACCAGGAAGGGAGTCTAGTCTCCAGCCGAGCAGGAAGAGAAGAGAGCGAGCAGAGGAAATAGCCGCTTTTTTAAAGGGAGTGAGACCACGCCCCAATGGGCTGGTATTACAGCAGCTATTGGTTGGAGGGGCAGAAAGACCTCCCGCAACAGGAGGATTCAGTGTTGAACTCGTGCACGAGGTTTTGACTTCGTGCATGGTTGTTAGAAGGAACAGCCCTTGGAGAGGGAAGTCGTTTGCTTGCTCTTCTGAGACCTGAAGCAACGAGGCTGTAAGCCTACATTGCTCTGTAGCTTTGAAGTCAGTGTCTCAGATTGCTGGCTGAGTGAGAGCTACATGCCACATGGTAGTTTAGATCCTATATAAACCCAGCAAGCTCCCTGGGTGTGGACTGTCTCAACTTTTCCCTGTAGATATCAACGAGCAGACATAAATCTATGAGTATGTGGGGGAAATGGAGTTGAAATGGGAGGATGGCAAGTGATGAACGCCTGCACTTTGACACTTAATCCTGTATTTTTAATCCGAATGCAAGGTGAGCTAATGGGATGCTTCTGTATTAGCTGAAGCTTTGGCCCAAAGCCCTTAGTGAGCTCAAATCCTCTTGTATGTCTGTGAGGTTGGCTGGGTTGCTCCCCTCCCCTCCAGCTGGAGGGCCAGGAACCAGTCTGCCCACGAGGAATGGGGAATCCAAGACGAGAAACCATGGGAGAGGTCCTAGAGTGGCAGAGAAAGTACTGAGAGAGAACCCTGAGTCTTTAGGTCATCAGTTCTCTAGGCCTCCCGGTAAAGGGAATTTTGTCTTGACTGTGAAGCATCTGACAGACAGAGCAACCCCTAGTGTTGGGATGTGCTCATGAAACAACCTATTGTCTGGGACAGAGGCCCCAGAGTCCAAGCAGCAACGGAAAGAGACTCTTTAGGGTAGCTGAAAGACTGGAGTCAGTTGGAATGTTCTTTTTATGATGATCTGTGGGAGGAAATTCTTCCCCTACCTACATGAATATTGGGTTTGTTGGAAAGGGATTTTTGTCTGCATAATCTGGGGTTCTCTCCAACTGTACATGTGAAAACTGTGTGATACTGTTACTGTTTTTTAGAATTTCTCTCTAGTTTTTAGAGAGCTTACAGTAAAACATGAAGTCTCCCCATGCAAGTCTGTGCAGAACTGTATGGGAGACACTTTGAAAGAATTATAGTCATAGGAGATTGCGAAGAAATGTGCAGAAAAGCCCAGCATGCCCTCTCCCCCCGTCTGTGCACCTTCTCTTAACTGCTGATAAAACTGTAGAGTGTTCGCATAATCAAGGAGTCTGTGCTGGAGTGGATCATATAACTTATTTGATTTCACTAGCCATACAATATTCCGTGTGTGTGTGTGTGTGTGTGTGTGTGTGTGTGTGTGTGTGCGCGCGCGCGCGCGTGTGCACATGCGCGCCTGCTTGTGGAAGTCAGAGGGAGTCAGTTCTATTCTCTCTGCACCATGTGGCTCACAGGTACTGAACTCAGGCCCCTAGGCTTGGCAGCAAAGACCTTTCTCCTCTGAGCCATTCCTCTGGCCCCATGATTGGCTATTGAGTTATGTATTGTGTGCACAAGAACTTTCCCAGTTATCTCTTATGGAAATACTTCTCTTTTTTAAAATTTTATTTAATTTTATGTGCATTGGTGTGAAGGTGTCAGGTCCCCTGGAACTAGATCTTCAGACAGTTATGAGCTGCCATGTGGGTGCTGAGAAATGAACCTGGGTCCTCTGGAAGAGCAGTCAGTGCTCTTAACCACTGAGCCTTCTCTCCAGCCCCCGGAATTACTTCTTTTAACATGGAATTCGTCCTTTTCATTCTTTCTTTCATCAGGAAAGAAAAAAAAACTAGGCAGAACAATTTGACTTTGATGGAATACTATTTATTATTCTTCCTACAGATTCTGCTTCTGGGACCGCATTTAAGAATGCTTTTTTGCCTTAGGTCCTGAAGATTTTCAGTGTTCTTGTGTAGAAATTTCAGCCTAAGAGACATTTGGAGTCAAGTTTTTGTACAGCGTATGATGCACTGAGGGGTCCAGTCGTAGTTCAGTTTGCTGTTGACTGTCTCTCCCCCATGGAATTGCCCTTGCCCTTTCCCCTTGTCTAGTGCTGGTTGCGCATAGTCGCTTTGAACCATGTCTGGATTTCCTGCTCTGTTCCGTTGATTTATGGGTCTGCTCTTCCTCCAGGCTCCCACTGTCTTGATTACTGCCACAGAAAATGGACATTGGCTTCTTCCACTTTGTTCTTTTTGAAAATCAAT